CCTCCCCCCTTTCCCCCGGCCCCTCCCGCCCCGGGGCCCCGCGCCAGGGCGTGTCAGGGCCTCCGCTTGGCGTCGCGCAGCGCCCCCTCCTCGGCATTATACAGTATTTCCTTCTTCCTGTCCGCTTTTTCGTTGCTATTATTTATTTTCTCTTTCTCTGTCTTTTCCCCTCCCCTCCCCATCTAGCCGGCCGCGCCTTTCTCATGGACGTTTCCGCCCATAATTACTCGTGGAGGAAGGAGGCAGCAGCAGCCGCAGAGGGCGATGCAGACAGACCGGGCAGAGGGCGGGGTCTGCCCGGAGCGGTCCAGAACTTGCAGCCTCCCGCATCACGAGAGCCAGGGAGACCAACCCCTCATCCCCGCCGCAGCCGCACCGACCTGTCAAAATAATAACGGCTGCGTCTTCTGCTTTGATGAGCGCGAGGCGAGGGCAGGGGCACAACCACGGCGGCCAAGAAACACATCTGAATTCAAAACAGGAATAATAAAAAAAAACACTCATCTGTAGCTACTCGAGTACACAGCAGTGACGATCATCATCAACGGCAGCATCAGCAGCAACGGCAGTCAACGCCGCGGAGCACCTCTAAAGCAGCAACAGCAGCAGGTCACTCGGAAGTCACACAGCACCGGGTAATAAGGTATTCCGGAGAACGGGTAAAGAAGAACAGCACGAATAACAAGGTGGCCCGTGATTCGTCGCCCGGTCTCTCCCTCCACTTGAGCGACGAATCACAGGCCCCTTTGTTATTCGTGCTGTTCTTCTTTTCCAGTTCTCCGGAATACCTTATATTGATATATCACGACACACTCGCCCCTAATTTTACTCCTCTTTTCTTTTACGAGATGCGATGATGGCCACGCCACCGCCGATGCGTATGCGCTCGTGTGTGCTTTTTCTCCTCAATCATTTTTTCCCCTCTCCTTTTTTTTATCCTTCTCGCGGACCCTGACCAGTTGCTCGCGCCAGCCACCGACACGTGGGCGATCATTGTCTGCTCGGGTCCAGGATGAGGAGCCCGGCGGCGGCGCCAGGGCCAGGGTGGGCCAGGGTGGCCTCGCTCGCGGCGCCGCCGGTCTCGGCCCTTATCGCGGATGTCCACGCCGCCGAGGGCCGAGGCCGAGGGTGTGGTGGAGGCGAGGACGCTGCAAAAAGTCTCGATGACGTATGACAGTGTCATCAGGGCGCACCACCCTCCTCCCCCCCGCGCGCTCGCCGTGATCTCGCATCGAGTAGGGAAACTTGGCCTCAAGTCCCCACCACCGCCCCTATCCCCTCCCCCTCCTCTCTCCTCTCTCCTCCAGGCTCCAGGCGCTGCCCTCCGTGTTGTCACTCAGGGAAATGCACTACGTGATTGCATTAGGGTCCGTGCGGGGGCGGAAGAGCGGCAAAAGTCTCTATCTTTTTTCATCCCCGGCGAACGGAGGAGCGTCGCATGGCATCGCTGCTATCAGCGCCAGCGGCGGCCGCTGGGCGAACTACGGCTGGGAATGGGAAACAAACAAACACAAACAGTACTCGCTCTCCCTCGCACGGTCACGGTACCGCATGGCTGCAGGCGAGCGGCGAGTTGCAGACTGGCCTCCTGACTTCAAATTCTTTGAAACCCACATAAGTTCAGGTTAACATTCCCGCCTTCTGTCCGGCTTCTCTTTACCCCAGCCACTAACAATGGTAAGTTATCTGGTTCATTCTGTGAATGCGACACACATGGTTTTGGGCGATGAAAAGTTTGGTTAGACGTCCGCGGATTGGGTAATGTTCGCGTACGAGGCCGGTTGCGACCAGAACTCAGTCAGATGTGACTTTCGAATCAGATTTAGACAGAGTGCGAAACCGTGGCCTATGAACGAATGCCGTGTTGTTTGGTTTCCTGGCCCATCCTCCCGCTTTTCTTCTTTGAGGTTAAGTTTTCCGTCTGTCCGAGAATGAAAAGGGATCACACACAATTGTGCACACTTTACCCAGTAATGGGTAATTTGATTAAATTTGATTAAAGAGGGTGGTGAGGTTATGAAATCGAGATATGTAAAAGCGATGATGGTTGGGCTTGTTTGTGAGTAGCGGACGTCGCAGAGGTTCGGGACAACACACTTGGGTCATATGGAATGGACGACCCCTATGATGATAATAATGAGCACATGGACATGGGCCGTGCTTTTTATCCTAGTCCCGGTCCTGGTGGGCCTGCTGCTGCTGCTGCTGGTGGCGGCGCGGGGCGGAGCGGGGCGCACATTCTCCACGCAAATGATGGCGCCCATACATCAGGGCCGGTGGGGGGTGGGGGCGCAATAAAAGAGGCCCTGCTTGGAGGGGGAGGGAGCGGGCCGAGCTGCGCCGCGGGCTCCGCCAGGCTCCGCGGCCGTGGTGGCCAGCAGGGCCAGCAGCCCCTCGGCCTCCCCTCGGGCTACTTTGCGTGGACGAGAGCGGGACTGCGCCATCCAGCAGAACCGTGGAACGATTAGGAAAGAGAGGGCAAGAGAGAGAGAAAGAAAAGGGACGACGAAGGGAAGAGAGGGAAAAGTTTGCGAAGTGTATAGTGAAGTAGCCCCGGGCGGGAGGGAAGTGCCAGTGCCACTGAATGAACGGGGGTTTAAAAACTGCTCCGCTGCTCGAAAGGGAATGTGTCTCTAGGGGGGGAGCAGCGTGTGTGTCTTGGGGGTAATTTAATTGTTTGATGTTTATATGGTCAGGTCAATCACGCACGCCATGCACTGCACGGCGCCACTGACTGATGTACTTGTTTTAGTCAAAACAGGTGGAAATCGACCCCAAACATGGAGGAAGAGTAACAAACGTTAACGTCGTCTGAGGCAACGACGAAGGCGAAGGCGGCAAGATGGGAAAGTAAACCAAGGATGGGGTGGACGAGGCCGAATGTGAGTACCCTTGGATTGCCATTGTCCTGTTATGCGATGGGCCCGCGGGTCGGGAGGAGGAGGAGACGGGCCAGGACAAGTAGTGCGTCCCGCGTCCTCCGCATAGAAGCGCCGGCTGGCCGGACCGGGGCCGCCGAGCGAGCCGCTCCCCAGGGCCGACGTACACATCGATAAAGACGTCCATTCAGGGCGATTTGGTGGCCACGCTCGCCTCGTCCCGCTGCTGCCGCCACCGCGGGCTGCCGCCGGCCCCGGGGCTTAACCTTGTTCCTCTTGTTCCTCTTTCTTATTTCCCTCCTCCGTCCGTCCGCCTCAGGGGGTGGCGCCCGCCCCCGCGCCGCCCGCCGCCCCCGCCATAGGGCTCAGCTCGGCGGCATAGCCGTACATCCCTATGTATGGGCCCGGGCGCGCGCGGGCTTAGCATTTCCAATAGCGCTCAGCAATATCGACCAAAGCCGCACGACTGGGGCGGACGCGGACGGCCCCCTTTTACTAGCTTGTAAGGCAGCGGGGCGGGGCGGTGCTGCACTCCACCACGAGCAGCGACCTGCCCGTAGCCATCGCCCTAAAACGGCGCGAAAAATTCAAATGGCAACAAAATTGAAAAGGTTACGGGGGCGCCTACCTGGCTCCATGTCGATTCGTCCCCTCACTATTCGTCCCCCTGTGGACTGGCACTCCGTCTATTTGTCCTCGGTCATTTTGGTATACACTTTTTCGTCCGAAGATAATTTGTCCTCAGTTTTAATTACTGTATTTGTCCCCTATTTGTCCTACCTTTTTGTCCTCTTTCACTCTTAGCCCGTTACTGACATTTTGCAAATACACAATGAATGAACTCGCTTATACAGCAGTAATACTCATAAAATTGCAAGTAATACTCACAAATTTAGTAAGTATTACTAATTATTTTGTTAGGAACTACTTAGGAAGATCATTCTAAGTACAGTGGCCACTCGCATAGCCACGCCTCTCATAGCTATGAAGCTATGAAGCTTTGGACACATTAAAGTGTTCAAATTTACTTTTAAACACTTCAAAGTATCCAAATATCCTGTCAAACACCTAAAGGTGTGCAACATCGTGTTGAGCACGTGCATGTGCACGCCAGTTGAACACTTTATTTATCAGTGAATTGTCACTAGGTGCCGCGTGCAAGGGTTAGAAAAAGGTGACAAGTTGTCTGGGTACTAACCATTACTATGGACAAACTAACCGAGGACAAAAAATCTAGGGACGAGTTAACATGGGACTAATTTTTGAGGACGAATCGTCGGAGGGACGAGTAACCGTAGTACGAGTCAGCCTGTTCCCCGCCTACCTAGTACAGCCTCTGCTCTTCGGTCATCTCACTCGCTCACA